ATATATATATATATATATATATAATAAATTTATTATTATCAACTAAACTAATTATTTTTGTTAATTTTAATGAATTAAATAATATATAATAATGGAGGTAATAACAAGTAAAGAATAAAATTAGTCATCATAACTATTTTATAAATTCAATAAAATCAGTTAACACTGTGATTAAGTTAAAAGTTATTTCTTCATATTTCTATCGATGCAAAACTGACAGGATTCAAATGCCGTTTTGGAAAATAATTTCAACTTTCTTTTTCATAAATTTTCAAATGCTAAATTCAATTTTCATATATAAAAAAAATGTTTAACAGTGTTACAGGCTAGGTTCGCTTCTGTTTAAGCTACTATATAATTTTTTTTTCTCTCCTGTACTTTTTTTACCATTTACCTCAAATTAAACATTCTAAAATTTCATACTAATACTATGGTTATCAAAAAAATATTTTAAAATTTATCCTATTTTTTCACTATTTCTTTTTATCTTATTAAATAAATTTTAAAATAATTCCTTATTATTTTTGGTGTTTCAACAACACGCGTGTTTTACTTTATCTTTTTATTTTCATGGATTTTTGTTTTCTTTGGTGTGCTACATACCAACATTATTTCATTTCTTATATCTAAGTTATAAATATATGAAGAGTTAATCACCTATACATTGTTACTGTAAAATTTTTTTACACCGACAACCAATCAGATCTTTTAATAGTGTCATGTTATTTGTTTATTTAATCAAATTAAAATAAAAAAGGCACTATTAAAGATCTGATTGGTTGTCAGTATAAAAAAACTTTACACTAGCAGTGCATAGGTGATTAACTCATATCTGAAACTATTTTTTTTAGAGTTAATCACCTATACACTGCCAGTAGTGTAAAAAAAATTTTACACTGACAACTAATTATATCTTTTAATTGTGTCATGTCATTGCAAATATATTTATTTTTAAGACATAACATAATTAAAAGATATAATTGGTTGTCTGTCTAAAAAAACTTTACAATGACGGTTAATAGGTGATTAACTCTTTTTTTATTAAATAGTTAAACGTCGTATGTAAAAAACGCATTTGGTGTTTAGATTTTTCTTCATTCACACCCCTTTAAAGACGCCACGCATTTGTATACCATAGCTCAAGTAACACTGCTTGATAAAATCAAATCTTCTCCGACGGATAATAAGATTAAATGTTACGATTTCAGTGCAAAGATATCTGGCAAATTAATACAAAAAGGTTTGATAGACCTTATTTTTTAGTCGACTTGAAATAATGGCTCAACATAAGCTATTCAATAAATCCTAGTTTTCTTTCCTTATTTAAACAAAGAACTGTAAAACAGTTGAAAATAAACCGCACACTTCACACTTCCAAATTTCAACTATTTCCATGACTAAACTCTCTCTTGAAACCTCTCTAGTGTTCAGGGTAAGGCTGGCATATATACTTTTTCTTCCGTTTGAAATATCATAAAAGGAACAGGTGTGAAGTATATACGTTTAGCAAATAGATATAGGACTAAAACCTATCATAAACACTTTTAGTACTTTTTCAAAAGTTAAAACCGGTAGCCTATGGAAAGAAATATCTAACTAGCCCAAATATACAAAATTGGAGATTAGAAGTTTGTAATAAACCAATAATACTCATGGTTTTGGTCCTTGCTCGTGCTTACAACAACTACTGATAAGAGAAAAGGTCATACGATCAGAGACGTACAAGATTGGTTGTTTCTGCCTTTTCGAAATTGAAACACTTACTCCACATCAACTTGGCCGAAGAACGACATGCTGTCAAAATAAAAAAAAAAGAAGACGGATTAATATTATCTGGAAATGCATGAAATGAATTGCAGAATAATTCAAAAAATGTCAACTATCTCAAATATTAACAACTGAAACCTACAATTTAATAGCAACTACCATATAAAAATTTAAGTTTGTACCTTAATTTGTGTCCTATTATATGTATAGGTGATATGTATTCGCCCATCACTATCCTGGATAACAGCAGGATATGAGAATTCCATTCCCAGTGTATCCTCCAATGTGAGAGCCTCCCACCAGGAATCACCATCATCCTTAGAGAGTGCCACTTTAAGCACGCCCCTTGATATAGTATTATATGCAACCAATAACCGGCCATCCCTAAGCTTAACCCCATCAATACCTAGAAAACAAATACACAAAATAGATAAGTAGCAAAAATGAAAAGGGCTACTCAGGGTGTAGTAAAAAACTTCAAAACTGAAGTAATCCATGATCAACTTAGTTCTTACTTCTTACAGTTCAGTTTAAATATTTTCATAATTATGCAGCAAAACTTTTGCAAGCAATATAGTTTGCAAAATTTACCTGAATTTGGGTTAGGGAGCTGAGTAGGTTTTGCATAACCCCAAGTCTTGCCACCGTCAGATGATTCTGACATACAAATTCTACCAATGCCATCAAAGGATCGTAGTAAAACACGTAGTTTCCCATTTGCAGTATGATAAGGTACTGGTTGAATCACACTCAGAGGTTCATTTTCAATGTAAATTGGGCCATGCTTGCTCCATGACCTGCCAAAATCTGTTGTTACCTATTGCACACAATAAGTAATAAATGTCAGCAAGCTAACATTTCTAAGCATCCCTGAAACAAACCACTCAACTAGGATGAGTTCACTTCAAACCTCCACCCAAGCACCCCAGGAGTTCCAACTTTCAACAGATGATCCACAAAGCAAATTACCATTTTTTAGCAAAATGGGCTGAGAAATAGCAATCAAAATTCAAAACTAGTTAAAAACAAATTTAATGCATCTATAAATTCTAAACCTCTTTATAAAATAGAATGAAATAGACTCTGTTGTACCTTATTCTTTATTGGCCCTAATATACCAGGAGGAAGCTGTTCTCTTCCTGTCCAAGTTATGCCTTTATCATATGAGCGTTTCATGAATCCACTCCACCTGAAATAAATAGACCCATTCTGCTCATATAAAAAGGGAGATAAATAATAAACTTAAAATTACCTAAGTCCTTGGGCGAGGGAGGTGACCTATTGTGCTCATTCAAACATTTCAGCACTGCAACTTACAACGGGGTTATGAATTGCGAATACATCTTTTCAATATATTATTTTTCATGAAAATATTTCCATATGAATTTATAAAATAAAAAAATTCTTTACCACATAGAGATTTTATCTATAAATATGAACTTTCATGTGGAAACTCTTCTGTCTCTAGTATTCTATGAATATACCCGAATCCTAATAGAAACTAAATTTACCGTGGATTAATTGAGAGAATACTCAGAGAACAATGCTCTGATTACAAGGCTAATATGCGGAAAGTATAGCATCTGAGAATGAATGCAAATATAACAGAGAAGAAAAACTTCTCTGCCCTGCCGCAACACCACCAAAAGTACCCAAGAATGACTCCCTCCTCTCCCATTTCCGATTTCCTCCCTTATATTCTACAGCAATTAACTCTACGACCATACTTCCCACACGTATTGCCACATCTACAAGTTTGTTATAGCATCTCATTCTTGCTCTTAGCCATATAGAAATGCCTAACAATATCATTCTAACAACCCAGTTACTTGGATTTAACTAAGGAGAAGCAGTAACATGTATGAAATGCTGATGATGTTCTAAACAACATAGTTTTGTCTGGATCAAAAGCCAGTACCATCGATGAATTTCCCTCAGGGTGATAAAATGCTCTCGTTATATCATAAGACTTGCTAAACTGATTAATAATCAGAAATAAGTACGTTTTTATGTAGTTGGAAGTTGGAACAGTTATCATGGAAAATCCCAAATAAGCATTTAGGTCTATTGATGCCTGGCAGAATAGTAAAATTGGATAGAAATTTTTCATAATTGTATGCCGAAGAGGACAGGATAAACCTAGCTGTATCAACAACAACAACCATTTATGAAAGCATTGCAGCAATGGAAGTCTGTACAAGAGAAAAATAGATGTAAGAGGACAAAAAGTTATAAACCTTACTTCTGAACTTCTTGGCCTATCTTGTAAAACAGAAGTAACTCCTCTGATGGAAGTTTGAATAGTACCGGGTTCCACATAGGAACATTTGGTTCTTCATCAGCAATTACAGGTGTTTTCCATCGTCCATCCTATCCACCAAATTGCATTCAGAAAGTTAGTGCAGCATTCAAAATTTTAGAGCTCAGTACATCACTCCTACAGACGTGGAAGGTATAAAGACAGTTTATGGCAAACAGATAGAAATCCAAATTGGTTGCCACTTGCCACTTTCTTGAGGCACATTTGTTGAACTACTTAATAGCAACCCCACATTACAACATGCTCTTGTACGAATTGATTCAGCTGCACTGTACAGTGAAAAATATTTCAATAGTTGACCAGCCTAATAAAACCTTAACTCCCAATGCTTGCCGAGACTTTGTCAGCCAAAGCAGTCAGCTAGTCACACAAAATGTAAAACATGGAAAGAAAGAAAGAAAGGAAATCCCGGCAATAGAATATACCAAAACCCAATTTCCCAAATCAGACATAAAAATTAGTATAATTGTATATTTGTATTAAAATGCGCAGTTTCCTATGAATTGAAGACTTGAGGGTACCGCATATACATTTACCTTGTAAGTCTGCAACCATATTTTGACATCAGGTGCCCCCTCGAATGTGCCCCCAAAATAGGCAACCAGAAAGTGATCCTTATCAACCTGCAGAAATCAAACAACAGGGAGAATTGAGTTCATTTGACAAAGCTTTTTATGGTATTGGGCAAAGATTTTTTGCACTCCATGACCTCAACAATGGTAGAAGCATGACAACTCTTGAATGGAGCTGATCCTGCTTGATAAGTGAACTCCTCCAACTCCATTAGTGGTCCCTCTACTGGACAATTGCTCGCCATGCCTAAAGGCTGAACTTGCGAGGTTGCTGTGGTTTTTACTTTTGCACTTCTCGAAACAATCATCTGCAAAATTTATCTTCAAGTCATAGCTTGTTTTAGCAGTGGAAAATCGAATTGCGAAAATTGACATAGGAGATGAAAAAGAAGATTGGTATAGAAATGTGTGGATATGCAGTCATTTATGCTTAACAGGGTGTCCAGTGAATTTGCAATGCGAAATAATAGAAAGCAAAGCAAAAAGAGTATGAATGTATCTAACACGCTGAATTCGCGACAGCGCTTGCCCCATTCAGGCAGATCCCATGAAGTAGGTAGCCAGTTCAAGACACAGAAAACGCCAACACTAAAGTTGACCGCCCAAACTACTGCTAATTTTTATGTTGGATTTATAAAAAAAAAATTAGATTAACACAAGAAACGATTTCAATTAACATAAATAATGAAGATGGTTGTCACGATAGTGAGTAGAGTTCACATAAAGTTTAAAATACGAAACTATTTTTTTTTTTAAATTAGGTGAAAAAGTAACTCAAATCAAAATTATCTGAAAGTATTTCAATTACAATTTAGTATTTTAAAACGAAAAATAAAAAACTTACTCACCTTTTATAAAACTAAAAATTGCAAGAACAAAATCATAGATTAAATATTATAAGAGACTTAAAAATAAAAATAAAATATTGAATAAAACACACACTCTCTAAGATGTATTAAAAATAAAATAGCAATAAATATAATAACATTTTGTTTATATATATTTTACACTATTTTATTTTCTAAATTAACTATTTCCAATACTTTAGCCGGTGAAATATTAAGATAAATATTTATTATGTATATACATAAAATTTATAAGAAATTATATATAAATAATACTATATATTTCAATTTATAAATCATATTAATTTAAATTTTTTATACACATAAATATTTTTAACATATAAATTATATTTTATATTTATGAAAATAATTTATATTGTGAAACAACATTATTTAAATTTAATTTAAAAATATAAATTAAAATAGATTTAAGAAAAATCTAAAATGAGACCTAGTAAGAAGTAATTGGTGAACGTCCAGGAAGAGAAGGGCGAGTATAAATAAGGATGAAAAAATGGGTCATTGAAACACAAGTGAAGTGATGCGCGGTAACATTTCAGAAGCAAAATGGTTGACAGTGAGCATAACGTTAACACTCACTGCCATTTCCGTCTCTGGTAGGTTAGGTTCATGCTATTTCAATTCCCATTTCCATAACTCACCATGCTCACATCTCTCTCACACTGAAATCACCAGCCTACGTATTAAAGAGAAAATGGAACGATCTGAACTCCAAGATCCAGGAGCTGGAGGCATCTCTCAAGTCGTGCCTCGACAAATGCGCCTCCGAGAGGCAAGGCCGAATTAGGGTTCAACAGGTTTCACATCTTCTTCTTCTTCCAACCGAGTCATTTAAGCATTCATAATTTTCTGCCTCACTCGAGCATTTGCGCGCAGGCCTTGAGGGAGAAAGTAACTCAGTCGCAACCTAAATCGGAAAGCCTAAACCTCACTTGTTATCCCATGACTCCTATTGGTATCGTCCACTCGTGCTTCTCCACCAGGAACGGGACGCCGAGGCAACCGTTACTCGTGCCGCTCGCTAGGGCGTGTTTGGTTTTTAACACAACTCGCGTTCCGCCGGCGTCTTTGGAGGGTTTAGCGGAATATTCTCATTGCTGGATTCTCTATGTGTTTCATCTAAACACGGATCTCGAGAAGCTCTGGAAGCATCCGTCGAAATCAGGGTTCAAGGCCAAGGTGTGTGTGCGCCTCTGGTTTCAATTAATAATTAGACAATGTTTGGATTTTTTTTTCGTAAGCATTTATAGAAGAAAAAAATAATAAGAAGTTTAAGTGAATTGAGTTTAAGGTCTCTTTGGATAAGTTTCTCTATAAGTATTTTCATTAGAGGAAAAGTAAGAAGAAAAATTGCAATAAGTCTCTCATAAGTTAAAATTAGCTTTTCTATGAATTAAAAATAAGATTTAGAAGAAGCTAATTGGAGAGAGCTTCTGCAAATTAGTTTATGTATAAGCTCATTTTAGCTAATTAGCTTATGGAGAAACTTATTTTATTTTTTCATTCTATTTTTCTCTCTTGAAGATGTTTCTTTCTAGAGAAGTTTATCCAAACAAATCCTTATTCCTAATCTAAAATCAACTTATGTATTTTAGATTTTGGACAAGTTGGACAAGAAGCCATCTAAAGCGTGTAAGTTGATATTAGCTTATTTGATAAGATCAATTCGCTTTAGCTTGTGAGTACTTTACTCCTTGTAGAGAAATTTATTCAAAAATGGTCTTAAGTTAATGTTGGCATAGCTACGTGGTGTTAACTTTTATTTGTTAGAAGTCTTTTCATACGGATCAGTGGATGGATAGGTGAGGGTCCCGAGACTCAAAGGTGGAAGAAAGGGAGTGTTTGCCACTCGAACCCCACATCGTCCATGCCCCATTGGACTCACAGTTGCGAAGGTAAGGAAGCATTGGCCCTGTGGCTCATAAATGACATTTCTCTTGATTGATATCATTACAGTTTACTACATATCGTTGAATTTTGGAAACCAGCAAACCTGTGTCTCAGAAAATATAATTGTATCTTTTATTATCCATAGATTGCTATGTAATTTCTCAACTCTTAGCATTACTGAATTATTGCTAGCATGTGACGAAGTTTGGGATTTCAGATCCATGTTGCAAAGATAGATTGGATTTAAGTCATGAAAGAAGTGATTTAGTGTGTTTGAATTAATAATTTTAGTTTTAACATTTATGATGGTTATTACTTATTGCGTTAGTTGAACTCAGCCCCTCCCCCCTAGATGGTTTCAGTGTGGCTTATTGTCAATGTCAATAAATTATCCAATACCTTTTTTATTTTTTGAAAATGCATTTGCTAAGTATATCCAACAGAAAATTATTATGTTTTGAAGCAGTTCAACATCAAACAACAATGATTTGTGTAATCATGTGTCTGTCACATGTCATTTTGCTTAAAAGTGGATAGAAAAAGTATGAATCAGTTACAAAACAAAGGAACAGGAGATCATGGAAAGGTGGCACATTGAAATTGGGCCACACTGCTGGTAGGAAATTGAATTTCACTCTTGTTATTAAGCAATTAGGAAAGTTTTAGTTTCTTTAGTGGTTACTTGTTGTGCACCCAAAGTTAAGGGTATAATATGTTTTCATGGTAATACTTGAAAAGAAACAGTATTTTGTATCACAGCTATGCAGAGTCTCATTAATTTTATTTTTGTTAGTGTGTTGTCTGTGGTTCCTTTTCCAACCAATCCCTATATTTTCAACTTTTTGTCTTCAAATATACAAAAATAAAATGATGGACCAAGTTTTGTGACTTTCACTTGACCTAACTGTGTACTATAGGTAGAGGCTGTACAGGGAAATATGATTTTGCTCTCCGGTGTGGATCTGGTTGATGGAACTGTAAGTCTCCTTTGTCAATCCCTGCTTTTTATGCTAACTTTACTGGAATTATGTGCCACTTGTGTTAGTTGTTTAACTATGAAATCCATGCTTTTATGTGAATGCATAATCATGTTGCTTTTGAATCTCATCAACAGCCAGTGCTTGATGTCAAGCCTTACCTACCATATTGTGACAGCATCCGAGAAGCTACAGTGCCAAATTGGTTGATGGTAATGCTCCATTGTCCTTTAGCCATATTTTTTTTTTTTGGTATTAAAAAGTTTAGGTGAGTTGGGCTCTGGGGGCTCACCAAGGTTAAGACAGGCTTCAAGGCTCTATGAGTGCTTTAAGAATTAAGAGGCATTTACAAATCATCCATCAACAAGAACTTCGCATCGGCAAGAATCAAACCCATGTCCTTTTGGAATATGGCTTGTTCCTTACCAACTGAATCAACTTTTGTTGCTTATATCTTTTGCTGCTTATATTGATTTAGTTTTTTTAATTAATCTATATTAGATTTTATCCATTTGATTCTTCAATGACTATAAGTAACTTCAAGCAATTGGTAGCTGGATATCAAATTTAATCTTCCCATGTTGAAAAAATGAAATCATCATTACCTTTTAGTAGTCACTGAAACTCTTGTACTCTTCTATTCGGATTCTTTGGAAGGTTTATATTATGGTCCACATTTAGAGTCAGCAATGAAATGTATTTAATATATATATTTACGTCTCTTTGTAGAATTTTAATAAATTATCTCATTTAAGAAAATAATTTGTATTTCTTCAGGAGGATAACTTGCTTTCTGTAGCTTCTATTAGCTTTACGGAGGACTTCACTTCAGCACTTGAAAACTGTTGGATAATGGCGGTGAGTTCTTAAATATTACTGGTTCTCTTTTTAATGTGACCCATTTGGTACGTAAGTGAAGCAAGACCTTAACTGTTTTATTTGGAGAACTCAGTTAATGGTAAGGATTACATTCAAAAGAAATGGTAAACTAAGTGACTCAATTGGAAAAATTAGAAAATCAGGAACTGAAAAGTCTGAAATGACCTAGCTTGAATTATAAGGGATAAACTTAATTAAGCCTTGATTAATTATTTGTTTGAAATTATTGTTGTTAACCAGAATGGATGCACCCCATCAGTCCTCACTGTATAATTTAACCTTTCATGTTTTCAACTTTCTTTCATGGTACATATGTTAAATTAAAGGTGCATGATTCTGATTATCATACTTCTCTTATGTCTTGGGTTTTTGATTAATTTTACTATTTTTAACCTTAATTATTCATTGCTGATTTTACTTGCTTATATTTCAATTTTATATATTTGAAAATAGTTTTAGCTTTTTAATTAGCCTTATAAGTTTTTTAAGGCTTTAAAAGTACCATATACAATTTGTGATATTTTCTCGTCCAAAATTATCTCCAAGCTTTTTTCTTGTGAACTCCAAGTATGCCACAATTTGTCTTCTTTTTTTTTTTTCTAACTTAAACTGTAAAAAGAGGGCGAGCCATGGTGCACGGTAAGGTTGCTAACTTGTGATCTAGAAGTCATAGGTTCAAACCCTAGAACCAAACTCTCCACTTGCATCCTCCCTGAACCCCAATTGGTGGGACTTGGGAGCTTCTTGCACTTGATCACCCTTTTTACCTTATATTACAATGAGTTAAAGTCCCTGGACCCTAGTTGGAATAGTTGGTTAAAGGGAGGAAAGCCCCTTAATTAAAGGAAGAGGAAGACCAAAAACATCTCAGTAAAATTATTAAAAATGATTCAGATCTAATTGGACTCTCTGAGCGTGTTTGCATTCACATCCAAAACGTGAAAAACCACGTTTAACGTGAAGCTACACGTTGTAGCTTCCACGTTAAACGTGATTTTTTACGTTTTGGACGTGAATACAAACACGTACTCTGAAGATATGGTTCTTGACAAAACACAGTGATGTCATTTTATCTAAGATCTATGTAGTTGAAACCACCCAGTGCGAAAAGGCATTGGTTATTGGTTTATATTGCTATTGCATAATGTGTATGTTACTGATTACATATTTTTCTTTTCTAGTCACAATTTTCAAACTTCTCGTTCTTTGCTTTAATACAATTCACGTGGGTGATGATTCTCCCTTACTGCTTCAGGAAAAGAAGTCACTTTATGCATCATCAGGTGAGTTCCAATCTTTGATAAAGCAGGTTCTTTCATGGGATATTCGGTCATTGAGTCAACGAAACCGGCCACATGATACTTTACTTAAGAGAGAAAACGATGAAATATTAGGTAATACTTCTGATGTAGATGAGCACCAAGATGAAACAACTTTAGTCCTTGAAAGACAGCAGAATGATTTAAATTCCAATGAAATAATTTATCACTTGATTTTGGAGGGACTTGATGTCTCTTACAGCATTGATCATGACGGTAATGTCATTGTAGAAAAGATATCAACTTTTGCTGTTCAGGACAGTAAGCCTAATTTCTGTAATTACTTGACATGGAAAGACAAGCTGCAGTGATTTCTATTACTGTACCCAATTGCCAAGACATTGGTTTTAATTTTCTTTTTTGCAAAAAAATGTTTTTGCTCTTTTAGAAGTAATTCTATTTAAGAACTGTAAGCTTTGAAGTTGTTTGGTATCTTGTATGTTTTTATTTTTAGTTCATGTTTTCCTTATAATTATAAAAATTATTGTTTTTGTTACTTTTTTATTTTTGAAAATTTTGTGAAGAAATACGCTACAGCCCTTAAGTTCTTGCTACGTGCTAGTTTAGGCTTGACAGTATCCTTTTGTTTATAATAAGCGAATATGGGATGCCGTTTTATTTGCTCGTAGGTATGGAAGTATCACAGTTAAATTAGCAATAATTTGTACGGTGCTTGACTCTGCTTGGAAAATGAAGATAAGGGTATATTTGGGGAAAAAATCGTAAATGCTCAGGGCAAAAGAAAATTAATTTGTTCTATAATTATATTTAGAAAAGGATAAAAGTAGTAGGAGCCTATGTTCAAAACATAAAAAGAAAAGCTTGTGCAAAATTAAGATATATAGTAAACTGAGCAAACAAATCATAACACATAATGATGAATAATAGCCTTTTTTTTTCTTTGTCAATTATTGCCATCATAAAATTGCATCATTCATTCGATTATGAATAAGTGTGTTTGCTGATAGATTCATATTTAGTGTAAAATTACATCAAAAGCAACACAAAAATAACTATTTAATTATGTTGGGATCTACATTAAACCGTGTTTAATGTGTTTCCAAACAAATTATTATAACCAATCTCATTTTCTTCTAAACTACACAACCCTTAACTCAAGACGACAAATTTTCACTAATTATGAACTTATTATGTATACATTTTCTCTATTATAAAATAATTAAAATTTTAAATTATCCATTTAATTTATTCTTTTGCACAAATTTTTTTTATTTAACATTTTTCTAAAAAATACTCTATTGATTATTGAGAGAAATTATATGAAAATTATAAAATTTGGTGAGTTTTACTTCCCATAGCTTTTACTAAAATTTAAACAATAAAAAAAAATCTATTGTTAAAACTCTTATTAAAGAACAACACATTATCTATAAAAAATTGGGAAAAAAAATCAATACATTATTACGTTTTTGGCAACCGTGGGAATCACAAATCAAAAGTAAGAGCATCAGGTGCTTGCTTCAACAATTAATACTATTCCATGACAAATGTGATTTGCTCTTTTATGAATCATTACTGTTAATGCCTTTATAAGTTCCTTTCGAAAGAACAAGGAGCATCGGAGTTATCCTAAGCTATTTGAATTGATGTGACCACTCAAGAATCTCGTACCAACTTTATGAGGTACAATTTATTTATTTTTTAATTATTTCATTGGTGCGAAATATTTATAAACTGTTAGAGGGTAATTATCATTACATAATTTGTCTAACCACTTTTTCTAAGATCTCTTCTAATCACATTTCTTCATTCATGAGATTTGAACACAATCCTGCTTAAAGAAATTGAGTTTAATTCTATTCGGTCTAATAATTTTTTGATATAATAATATAATATAGGGGATATTATTTAGAATTTTACTGCGATTAATAATTTCTATTCATTTTTAAAACAGGAAGTAAAAAACATTTTAATCATAGTTTTATTGAGAACTTTTTAAATTTTATGATGAGATATTGAAATATAATGGACAAAACACATTTAATATGATGATAACAAAAGAAAATTTGAAGAGAAACCAGGCCCAGGTCAAGGCAATAATTTTGGGCTTGAAAATGACCTCAATAGGATAAAAAAAAATTATGCCTATGATATATACACTTCATTTATATATATTTTTATAAGTACACTTCATTTTTTTTCATAAGTACACTTCTTTTTAATTTTTTTTTTTAAAAGGTGGACTGCTAAAAAAAGAAGATATATATATCATGATTCACGAGCCTAGAAAATAATTTCACACTTAAAGGTAATAAGCTAAAAAAATTATTCCATATAAAAATTTATGATCTTACTTCTTTTTTTTTACACTAAAGTATTGATATGAGTATTTTTTTAAATTTATTTTTTTGTCAAACTCAAAAATTTAAATTTAAGATGTTAAGACTTGAGTATCAAATTACAGTACCAATTGAAGCGATCAAATTTCATTTAAATTATGGTAATTGGAAAAATGGATCCTAAACCCTTCATCTTCATCTAGACTTGCCCCCACATATCCGATGCCATTTATATGTTAATGATTATGGTAATTGAAAAAAGGTTTAAATAAAAAGTGGGTTCCACCACTATTCCAAATTCTAGAAGCTTACAAAAAGTAAACCAAAGCAAGCCGCGCAAAGGACACGTGCCTTCATATTTTGGTATCTAGTAATGTCAATAAATTTCTAGAAACAATGAACAGAAGATTCCTTTTTTTTTATATTTTTTTAAGACAACTTTTTTTTATATAAATCAACACTATATATTAATTATTAAACAAGAACATTTGCTTATACGTGGATATTTTTAGAGATTTTTTTAATGAGTTTGTAAAAACAAAGTTTTTATTTAATTTAATTTTTATTTATTATAATTATTTTTTACTTAAATATTAATATTATAAAATAAATTAATAATAAACAAGAATAAATTTATTGTTATAATACAAATTATTTATTATAAATCTAAAATATAATTTATATATTTAAAAATATTTATATATATTAATTTTAGATAAAATTTATATATTCAAATATAATATTTATTTATATTAATATATTATTATAAAATTTAATTATATATAATAAATATGTTTGTGCATTACACAAACTATAAAAATATTAGTTATTGCTAAAAAGTTAAATGAATGCAAATTTTAAAAAATAAAAATAAAATAAATATTTTAAAAATAAAGAAAAAATAATTGAATAAAGAAAATAAAAAACTAAAAATATAATTTGACTTATTATTTGCATTAACATGATAATTATCATGACCAGTTTTTTCTGCTTTTTATACTATTAGATGCTTCTATTTGACCTGATCTAGCCCAAGTGATTTACAAATGGTTGATCAGTCCGTACAAATGAATGAATCTGTGGGTTCATTTACAAGGACAACAAAATCAAACTAATGTAATATATTTAAATTCTTACGCACATCATTATATAAGTAGTACCATGAACAATTTTAAAATTTATGAAGACAAAAATTAACAAAAGAACTAAAGAGTTAAAATTAAATTTATTTATATTTAGAAGAACAAAAAAAATTCACTAATTAATCATGTGTAATGACCATTTTAAAATCTTATAACAAATTTTAATTCTGCATTTTAGAATAATGGGGGTTTAATATGATGCATAAACATACACAGAAAGTAAATTATAGAAAATAAACTGATAAAAAAAATACACAGCTAGTGATGTATTCTATTTTATTTTATTTTTACAAGTAATATGCTCTCTAACGTTATATATATATATATATAT